CGCTGTCTCTTGTGTGCTTGATTTCAAATGCATGTCGGATGTGCAAATGCAAGAACGTGATGAGCTAGAGAGCCAACATTTGAAAGCTCTCGAGATGCTCAAAGGTTCATATTGCCACGCATTCTTGCACCTGGAAGCGGAAAAAAAGAAATGAAGGAGCGAAAGATCACCACTACGATGACTGTATAATGCAAGTAAAGGGTTTTCTTTCGCTCAATCAGATTCCGGGATAGATTTCAACTGGCTAAGAGGACATGGGGTCAATGTGAAAAATATACCTAAGGTGACGGGGCAAAGGTGGGATGTGGAAGCGTTCGGGTGCAGTAAAGGGATTAAAATTTCGATTTACTGTATGTCTAGGAACAAAGGGGCAAGGTGTGAGATTATTGTTTGCATCCTATCACAGAATTAAACAGCCATCTGTGGGAGCCTGTGCATGGCTATGGAGTATCTAAATGTGAGAAAAACGTTATCTAGGTTGTGAGGATCCGCATGTAATCAAGAGTGACGGGTCACACGAGTGTATTTACATAGTGAATAGGCTTGGTAGGTAAAATTGCAAATGCATTGGGAAGACAAAAAGTGTACAGCCTAACAGAATCTGCTCGGTCGACAGTCAGGCAAACTTCAGAGTGGATGGCGAAGTGTTTGAAGCGGCAGAATCCAAGTCGGCTAGTAGACCGCTATCACCGCTGAGTCGCTGGCCAGAGCCAATCGATGCTGGGGGCAAATTTGTATGTCCCGTGTTGCAAATAAGGTTGTGATCACCTATGGCATCGTTGGCGGTAAAAGAGTCTCCTTCGGGACCGAACTTAGGCTGACTGTTGCGCTGCACCTGAATAGGACAGACGGCCAAGTTTACTGCGTAAGCAGCGCTGCCTGAGCATTGTGTCTTCATAAGCTGACTTGGGGCACATGTTGTACAGTAGACGAGAGCAGAGGCACAGCAGGTGCCCGACTGCCCTATAATCGCCATACCCGTATCGAACTGTGACTGGGAACGATTTTGTTTAATGAGGTTCGACACCGGTTGATGCGCGAGTGATGTTTGGTTATGAGTTTGGTGGGTGTGTGAATGAAACTGCTGTACAAGTCCGGATACCGGAAGCTCTTGGCTAAGAGAAATGCTTTTAACGGGCAGATTGGCGGCGGCGGTGTGTGTAGAGGTTAAATCCATAGAGGGGCGAGAGCAAGGCGAATGGGTTAGGGAGCCTGACCGATGCACTCCAGATACCAGGTTAGAAGCTCCGATGGATACTGATGGGTACTGCAAACTTCGGGCAGTCTGAGGAGCAGCAGGTTGACCATTAAGTGCTGTTATATTATCTCTATTACTCAAGAGCTTAGTTTCTGACGAAACACAAGCCTTGGATGTAGTGGCTAACGGGGCGGACTTGTTCGTATCAACCGAAGGTGAAGCGAGTGGTAAATTAGATTTGGAAAGCTCTTCATCTATGCGAATTCTGTCCATCTCGGATACTTCAAGAATGCATTCCTGTAGATCTTCCATGAATCTGAGTCGATCGGAACTGGTCTTCGTGTTAAGCATTACCACTGGCTTCTGTTCCGCATTGCAATTTGAATCGCCAGAACAGCCCAGGCTACGTCGTAACTCGATGCCATATGGGCAGTGTGGAGTCTCGAAAAGAGCCAGTCGGACGCCGAGTAGCGAATGACAGGCACGCACCTGGTATGCTACGTTACTGGGGCCCGAAGAGG